TTTATTTATTTTCAATTTAGTCTTAAAATTACAATTTCTCATATATTTATTTTTCATTCATGTCTTTATTCTTACCATTTTTAATTTATTTTCGTGGCCTTCTAGTTAAAATTTTATTAACTTTTAATTTTATCATTTAACGAAATTTGTTTATTTTTTACTTCTCAATTCCAATGCTTGTTATTTTGTTTATTTTCTTTTTAATTTTTTAATTAAAATATTATAAATATTTATAACACGTGGCAAATCACGGGTTAAATAATTAGTTAGATTTAAAGTTATCCAGCATCTTAGACCTTGTTAAAAGCTGATTCATTTCAGTAGATCCCAAATACATTTCTATACATGAACTGTGTGTTTTTTATGATTTTATTTTCTCTAACCATGACAGATTTAAACTTCGATATCTGTGAATGAAACAAGTTAACAACCCTTCAACAATCATGCAAGCTTTTCAGATTGCTGATCTATCATTGGTTGACTACAGGATTGAAAGACATTAATTCAATGATTTGCAGGGATTCAGGTCAAAAAAAGAGATCTATTTTGATATTCTTCTCCGACGTTTTTTTGTTTCCTTGTTGCAGCATTGCCAGTCGCAAAGAAAATCCGGTGAACAACTGTGGATAGTTGACGTCTTTAAAGCGTAAAGAAGGTGTTTTTTTTGACTTCACACAAGGAAACAAATCATCATGTGTAAAGCAGATTACCACCAATAAAGCTCTTTAGATTTATTAGATTTCGTTTACACGCAAGAGGGACTTTTTCGATGAATGAATTTTTGAATTCGAGATTGATGTACTAATTAACTTAGATTCTCCTCCTCATGAAAACCATTCATTCCACACCCTTTCAAGGGGGAAGCATATTTTTTAAACACGAATCTAGAATGACTTGAGGAAGGCTTGTATCACGTGTAAGGGGTTGTTGATAAGAGTTTTTTTTAATTAAAATAATATTTTTTTGAATTTTTCAGAAAAAACACTAAATAATTTTGATCAGATTAACTTTAAATTATTTTAAAAAAAAAACTCAATTTATAATAAAAAAAAACAAGTGGATTAGATCCTAGATCATCCATCGTGGATCAGGTGATGCTTGATAATAATGGGAGTAACATGTCAATGCTTCAAATAATTGTTTTTTTCCCCCTTGCTTCTGCCTTAAGATAAGCAAGAAAACATCATTTATGGAAGAAAATTGATTCCTGAATTATATAACTTAGGATACGAATCCAACTTCCTCTTTCGCCTCGGGAAAATATGGTACCTGAAACCACCAATTGACATGTTTCAGAGAATCTCAAGAGGTAGAATCATTGAATGCTTATACAAATTTCATTACATTTTATATGTGTTGAAGAATTATTTCGTATATATAATAACGTTAATCTTTATTTTCATTGTGAAATCATTAAATACTTTCGAAAAAAATATACTCTATAAGGCATCCCAGAGGAAAAAAGAAAAGGAAACAAAAAAAAAAGAGGATGGGACAAGATGATGGAAGCGTCAAGCAAGCAACTGGAAATGTGGGCTCAAGTTGAGGGTGACCAAGAGTGTTTTGCACGTGCTTTAATAACGCGTGCTAGCCTAGCACAAGAACAGTGCATTGGATTGGCCAACATAAATAGACAAAATAGTTAGTATTTAATACACACTGATCATCTTTTGCTCTCTTAGATTGCATTGATAAGAGAAAGATTTGATCTTTAGCTCAGTTTAGGAGGGAAAAAAGAATTTGTAAAGAATTCCCATTTGGTTAGCAAAATTCCATTTCACAGATACAGAGACAGCAGAGAAGAGAAGCCGTGACTCTTCGAAGTGTTTAGGTGCTTATATTAACACACTCTTCCACAAGCTCTATGACCTCATTTGAGGATTCGAGAATTAAGGAAAGAGGGAGAAAGAGAGAGAGCAGAGAAACAATGTTTGCAGCAGAGAATGGACTCAAAGGTGACCCAAGACTACAAGGCATCTCTGAAGCTATTAGGGTGGTGCCTCACTTCCCTAAACCAGGTCTGATTTCTTTCTTTCTTTCTGTGTTTTCTTCCTCTTGTTATCAGTGTTTGGTTGCTAAGCTTTTTATTGTTTGACAGGGATAATGTTTCAGGATATAACAACTCTGTTGCTGGATCACAAGGCTTTTAAGGACACAGTGGATATCTTTGTTGATCGCTATAGAGACATGGGCATTTCTGTTGTTGCTGGTAGCTTATTAGCCAACCCTCCCTTTTCTTTCCCTCTTCTTCTTCTTTTTTGGTGAGGGCTTGTTTTCAAAAAGTGGTTAATTACCGGGACAAAGGAAGAGAGGATTATGGGAATTGGTGATTTTCTTGTGTTTCATGCCTGGATTTTGGCTTATTTAATTTTCTCGTCTGTGGGGTGTTGACTTTGGCCTTTCAAATTGCATAAATAAAAGGCTGTTTCAAGATTTCTTAGTCAAAGTTTTTGGTGGTTTTTTGGAAGGGTCTTTATCACGTAGGAAATCTAGTACCACCGGGATTTCTTGGTTAAATGAAAGTTTTTGTTGACTATTCATCTAGGAAACAAGCTGTTCGATAATGATGTTTCCATTTGGCTCTATTGTTTTTCATGTTGGATGTTTTATTAATTTCTCATGTTGGCAAGTTTCGTGTAGGAGTTGAAGCTAGAGGGTTCATGTTTGGCCCAGCAATTGCCTTAGCTATTGGTGCAAAGTTTGTACCTTTAAGAAAACCCAGAAAGTTGCCAGGTACTTCCATGTTTATCTCGGAGCTGCAACTGTGCTTCTGCTGCACTTTTTTTAAAATGTTGAGGATAGGGGTAGCTTGTTTTGGTCCATCAACTTCAATGCCGTAGGGAGAGCATTTGAGTTTTCATGCAACTTAAATCATCTTTTAAAGTTCTGTATTCATGCCTGAGACTGTATTTTAATAGACAGTAGATCTCAATTTGAAGCTGCAGCTTAGTTCTAGTTTTGAATATGGGAATTTCCTTTTGTAACAGTCCATATCAAATCTCTTTTGGCTGGTAAATTAATGCGTTGTGTTGCATTCATTCCCCTCTGCTCTCGCAGAAGTTTAAGCAAGAATCTTATTGTAATAGTGTTCCAAAATGCTGATTATGCAGGCGAAGTGATTGCTGAAGCATACGAGCTGGAATATGGAACTGATTGTCTAGAAATGCATGTTGGTGCTGTTGAGCCTGGCGAGCGTGCAATTGTAATAGATGATCTGGTAGCTACAGGAGGGACCTTGTCAGCAGCCATAAGACTCTTGGGTACTGGCTTGCTCCTCCTTGACCCATGAAAACTATTTCTCTTCTGATTTTGTTTGCTTGGACCAAGTTTACTCTTTGCATAACTTATCTCACACTTGATGTTAATGTTTCCATAGAACGGATGGAAGCTGAAGTGGTTGAGTGTGCATGTGTCATTGGATTGCGGGAGGTCAAGGTAATGGCTTGTCTTCTCCTTGTATTTTGTGTGTTTTTTTTCTCCTACAAATACCTCCATGTTCCGATTCTTGCCCCGCAAATATAGTAGGTTGATCTTCTGAACATTTTGTTCCTTGCCAAATGAAATGGCTTTCAGGGACAGTGCAGGCTCAATGGCAAGCCACTTTATATCCTTGTGGAGCCACGCCAGATTGATAATTGTTGTTAAGGACAGGTACTCCTCTTCCTTTACTACGAAATTATTATAATTAACAAAATTTAGAAGAGACTGAATTCATTTTTATTGTATATATAAATTGACAGGAAAAGTTTGATCTATAATTACTCTGTAGTCTCTTATTTTGGCCACCGAATATTTTCCCCGTCTTTGGAGAAAGATTTTGGCCGCCGAACTTTTAAGAATGACAATAACACCAATTCTCCTATCCGAGTCCCCCTCGAAAACAATAAATTTGTTTTTCTCATGATATTTTAGGCCCCTGGCTTCCATGTAGGCTATACTCTTATTTTTAGCTTTATGTTTTTGTCGGCTGGACAAATTTTCAGTCTGCATTTGAACTTGATGAGATCTAATTTAAGAAATTTACAGGTCTTTCGAGTATGAATGTGCTCAGGCTGGGGCTGGTGTCTTAGCTGAAAAAGATGACGCTTGAGCCAACGGTGAAGATGTGTTGATATGTTTTTCTGCCGAGTTCAGGCTGCTGCTGCTGGGCACGACCCTCACAATGGTCATCCCGTATCATTCTTTTCCTAGTGGGATCATGAATCATTTTTAGGCTGTTATGACAGTTTTGAGAAAAAGAAAATCATGAATGAAAGGACTCGTTTATATATTGTTGATTAATGCTTAAATGATTCCTTGTCCTGGCCCATCTTTCCAACGCTCCCATATGTCTTGGTTTTTCATGTGAGAGAATTTGATATGCCTGGCTAGCTCATGCCCATTCATGTGGTGGTCTAGATTAGACGTCTCAAGTTCTTCATTTTCGTGATCCCATGCAATGAAATAGAAAGGGTTTCGCTTCTAAAAGCTACTTTACCTCTTTCTGTAATCAAATGATTCGACTTCTAAGTTTTCTTCGCACCAAAGAAGGAAATCAGGCCAGCCTAATCTATCATGATTTTGACTCCATAATGCTTTCGAGGTTGGTTCCTTGCTAACACAAGGATGTATCCGAAGGACTGTGGTGTTCGAACTCAGAATCGAAAGTTGAGATTCTTTCCTTTTATTTTCCCCAATTTTTAGGTCATAGCCTCACATTATTAAAAAAGGAAAAAAATGGAATGAGCCGAAGACCACCGCAATGTTTTGATTTGTGAGATGGCTTTGGAAAGGCACCGCTGGTTTGTGGTTCATCAGGTCTGGATGTCACCGATCCTGACCAGGTTCTCAGTATGGTGCCCTGCCAAACTGATAGGGTGGGTGGCATCCACACATGGTAAGAATCCGAGGTGAATTTGGGGCAAAATGAACGATTTTTTTTGCATCAAGACCACAGCCAGATTATCCATTTCTCATACTCTGAAACTTTGAACAGTTCTCTGAGATAGACATGAATCACATTTACTTGATGCTTATTCTCATCATTCCAGTTAAAAAAATAATAATAAAAAAATACATCTCTGGAGAGGCAATTTCTTTCAGACAACTCAATACGTGAAACCACAATTACATCGAGTTAATTTCTGGTTTAGTGAAATGAACAGTGCAAAACAGGTCACCCATTACCTCTAATCCTATTATAGTTTTGAAAGACGCCTTTTACTTCTTTTTAAAAAAATTACAATATTTAATATTCGACCATACTTTTTATCTTTCTACATGATTATTACTTGAAGGAGCCACGTCATTACTACTCCTAGAGATGCTGCCCATTTTAAGAGCACGTCGCATAGTAGAGTTCACCTGTTTTCTCAACATGGCATTATCAGTGAAGAGATTTGCCAACATATTCCTCAGTTCATCATCGGTTGATCTCAAGTTGTCGTCAGCAGCAGTGATTTTATCATCTTCAAATAATTGTTGTGCCTAACCAATAATTTGGGGAAAAAGAAAGTAGGTAAGACAGAAAAGGAATCGATGAAACCTACTTTTAAATTCATATTCAACAGGTGCTTCTAATTACTAAATACAGCTTTGATAGTATTAGTAGGAGGAGATCAAGTCTAGGTATCCTTTTAAATAATGAAAGAACCTAATGGTTCTACAGTGAAGAGGATTCTGTTTACCCCCACACACCCCCCCCCCCCCCCCCCCCAAAAAAAAAAAAAAAACAGATTGGAAATAGAAAGTACCTCCGTTAATAGATGGCCAATCTGATCATCAGATGTAGTCAACAAATCCAAAGCATCTGCCAGTGAAAAGTCCACAACAAAATTATCATCTTCACTCAACAAATTAACGTTGCATTCTTGCAGCTGGTCACACAGAATCATAAAATCACGTAGCAGTTTCTTCCGAGCAATTTTCCCATGCTCCTTCATTTCTCTTTCCTCATGAAGAAGTTTCTGGGGGGAAAAAACATGGCATCGAATCAGTGGAATATGAATCACTTGTAGTGGTTGGGACCAAAGGCAAAATATCAATCCGAGGCAAAAGATGTTTTGAAATGATGAAAATACAGGAATACGACTGGAAGGCATTTAGACATAACAGCAAGTTTTCTGGGACAACTGATGGCAGGAAATCATAGGAAAGTAATATTTAAAGCAAGATATACCTCCTAAATTGATTGGTTAATAATTTAATAAAAAAACAATGTATTTAGCTTGGGACTTGATAACTGACAGAAGCACGCAATGTGTTTGAATTTTGACCTGGACTTGAGGCTAGTTGTGTGAGTTAATGTAGCTCCCCATAAGACGAGAATTTCTCAAAAAACTTGATATAAAGCAATGGTACAGTAATAGGAGTGCATAAACAACCTCAACTTCAGATTTTTCCTTCAGTGATTGGCTAAGCTCCTGCTTTAATGTTGTCTGAGAATTTTTAAGGGATTTAAATTCTTTTGCAAGAAATTTAATATCTGCTTTGGATTTCGCTTCAAGTTCTTCATATCGCGTAGACAGATCCTCAAGTAGCTTTCTAGTAGTATCCAACTCCTCAAGTACCATGTCTTTCTCATGGTAGGTAGATGCCATTTGAAATTCTGTACTTGACTGCTCACCCTGTAATGGTTACATGAATCATAATCTTAATTTAAATCATTGAAAGGACCATCTTTCCCTTGATGTGGGGAATCTCCAAAAGAAACCAAGGAAATAAAAAACAAAAGTGAAACTTTGAAACCAGAATGATGGCTAATATGTAACCTCTTTTGACTTCAATTTCAGTTCCATTTCCAACGATTTCCGTCTCAATTCTTCCATATCCCACTGCATTTGGGTGAGCCTTTCCCTCTCAATCAAAATAGCTTGCTGCATATTTTCTTTATTTTTCTGTTTGTTAGTTTCGAGTTCCACCTCCAGATCCTTGACCTGAAGAGACCCAATGAGTAATATAAAAGAATAACATCAAAAGACATGCCAAAAGTTGAATCTTTGAGAGTTCAATAGCTATTACACTCTTGCATAGAAGTAAAAACCTTAAAACCTAGTGTACAATGAAGCATGAAGTAGAAATTGCGCCCATTCAGTTCACGGTTTACAAACATGCGGCAAAAAGGTGGCATATGCTAAGCTCATACAATTATGCTCAACATACCTTTGTTGTAAGGTAATCTTTTACGGCCATCTCCTGATTTAATCTTGATATGAGGTCTTCCATGTCTGTTTTAGCTGTGACTAGCCTCCGCTGCATCGTTAATAGAACCCTGTTCATTTTATGATGCTGATCCATAGGAAGTACTATGTGTGCATCACCTGAAAACTGCAGCTCTGCATTACCAACAACTTCTGCAGAGCTCAATACCTCAGCTATTCCTGGAAGGTCAAGAGATCCATCACCAGATGAATTTGGTATCCCAGTGTTTGATAATTCACTTCCTCGTAGAGAACTTCCGTCACTTCCAACACTCTCACTGGACAACTTTCTAACATGACCAAATGCCTTAGCAGGCCCTGGCTCAGAGAAAAGTTCCATCCCATTTCCAGGAAAAAATGAAGCTTTGGATGCATTTCCATTATATACATCTTTCGCTGTGACATTTTTTATATGCACACCGTGTGGTCTGTGCCTAGGAAGACCTTCTAGTTGCTCTAGAATAGTCTGTCCCATAAACAGTCCCTCATCAATGTTTGACATGCCATACTTCACAAGTTTTTCCATAGGACTGGTCAGATCTTCATCCAGTGCTAGATCCCCCAAGCCAATTCCAAAATTTTCATCTATTTCTAACCTAGGTGTTCCAAGATCAGATGTTTCATAAGCAGTATCACTACCATAATCTGATGCAATTGATGAACCGGTAGCAAGAGAACTTAAATTTGGAGGTATCTGAAGTGAGGAAGTTGAACTATCACCGGAGGGACTAGCTTCTGATGACTGCTGATTTACATCTTGGAATGCTGAAAAAATTACAGGAAATGTTAAGCACGATTTAACTCTTAAAGGGAAAAAAAAAACCCTTCCATTTTCAAAAAAGATGAGATTCGAGTGGATTATGCACTTTTACTTAAACAGACAAAGGAGGTAAGATGACACATACAAGACCTCGCAGCAGCTTCTAATTCAAGAAAGGATGCCACTGAAACACTTCTTGATAAATCAATGTCAGACAGCAGTTTTGTCATCCACTGCTCCAAAGAGTACCTTCTCTGCAACAAAACTAAGTCTTTTAAGAATATTGGTCACTTAAATGCAAACAAAATGAAGTTTTCAACGAAATGAAGTTTTCTTATTAACTTCCAAATAAATTAAATAAACTAACTAGCCAAGTCTGAACAAAATCCTCTTTTTCCTACAGTTTTCATTATCTTGCAACTATACCAAAATCCAGCTTAAAAAATAAGTGTTTGGATTGCTATAACTGAAAATATATAAAATTATATAGTTTTTGGTTTCCACTTATAATCAGCCACTTAAGCACAGCTAATTCTTCCAAAAGATATTTGTAATGATGTAATCAGCTTATATCAGCAGTTATGGGAATTTGCCTCTGTAGAATGAAGCGGCATTAGTGATAAGCAAAAATCAAGAATAAGTAAAAACAGATATGGTAAAAAAGTCCAAAACACATTATGTACCTCTTCCAAGAGTGCCCTGCTCTTCAAACGCAGAAGCCCCTTGGGTGGGGCTGGTGGGAGATTTTTTCTAGGAAATGCCTTCTTAAGCTGCAAAAGATAGCAAATAGCAAATATAAGAGGTGCAGGACCGAAGTGATTAAAGAATGCCAAATGGCCCTGACTACTTAAGTGAGTCAATTGTTCAAGTACTTTGACTTAACAAAGTGGATTAACCAATGTAGCAAAATGGAATAGAAATTTTGTACTTACATCAGTAAATAACTTCATAAAATCATTAAATCTTCTCAACACTCCACGCGTGGTTGTAACCCCTTCTGGTGATTGTAAACCGATCTGAACCCTGTAAAACTGCCCCTTAAGAATGTTAACATAAGATGTTCAAAGCTGGTGCATAGTCATTAACATGTACACATAAGCGCGGGAACAATATACAGACACAAGAATCCAAACCCAGATGAATTCACTGAGATTCTGGAAAGAATACAGTTACATTTGGCAAATGAATTCAACAAAATACACATTATGCACTTCCCAAACAAAGAAAACTGGATATATTAAGGTAACAAAAAATGCTTTTAACCAAAAAACTAAAACCTACCTATATAAAATGAAAATAAAATAATTCTTGCACTGATGGAATGAAATATGCAAATAGAAAAACAAGGAATGCTATTAACCTCTTTAACTACAATAGCATGCTTTGGAAACTGCCACTGGTTATTCCCTAGAGGAAGGTAAACCATAGTATTGGATGTCCGTATTGTTTGAAGCTTCCTAGAAATAAGTAACCAATCTAAATCATATTACAACAAATCCATGGAGATAGCATAATAACAACATCTAACCCTTAGTACAGATAAACACAGGAGAATCATTCAATTTGAGTACCACTACGGGATCTGAATCTCTTGATTTTGGGACCACGACCCAGGATGGTATAGCAACACAGTAACTCCATCCTGTTCTAGGATCATGAGGCCAAATGGTTTCTCGCCCACTCTGCAAAAATAAAAATAAAAAGAATTCTTATCCTTTCATGCATTGAAAATTTTTATTGAGCAGAAGAAGACTATAAAAAACCACGTGCATTTTGTTATCACAAAATGACAGTCAGTTACAGATGCAAAACCTCATTAGAAAAAAAGAAATCGATACATCTGTCATGGAAACAAAAAACAAAAGCTACATAAGGGATGCAAATATACCATTCTCTATGTTGTTCACAACATGACTTGACAAATTCAACAACTTCCAACCATCATTCTATAGATTTTCAAATTTCCTATCAAGTCTTCAAGCATCGTTCCTGGTTAAAAACACCATTTTCATTTACAACCTCTTGACTTGTCGATGCATGCTGCATGGTACTACCAGCAGACGCAAGACCCTCAATTCCAACAATGAAAAATCAAAGAAAAATAAACAAATAAACAACCAGAAATCCCATTCATATTTGTTAAATCAGCTCTTACTTAATAAGATGCACCGGGTTCTTTAGAATGCGATACTAAACCTACAGAGTTCTCCTGTGATCGCGATACTAAACACGCGATCCAAATTAGGACACACATGCCAAATGAAAACAACCAATTAAGCACGTGCCGAATTAAATCACAGAGTTGCTTCAATCGAGATACAATTAATAAGATTTGGCACATAAAATGCCAGTCCGGTTCGCCTAAATTAACTTCATACCAAGAATCATAACTTTCCATATGCAAAAAACAGCTAAACTAGTTCTAATTAAAACTTAATTATCCTCTTAATCAAACTCAGCGTTGACAAGATCCATCGATCAAATCACAATTCAGCAGCCACTTGATCAGTTCATACCGAGATAGTACTTAATTACAAAGAATTGTAAAAAAAATCCATGGAAATCTAATTAAGAAAAAAACAGATTAAAATAAAAACTAGTTTTGAAATTACACTACGTAATTAAATTAGATTAACAATTTTACCCATTTTCGAGGAGGAGGACTCCAATCCATCCCTAACGGCAGCGGCGAAGTCCCGTCGTGCCTGTGCTTTGGCGGACTCCGCAGCCTCTGCATCTTTCTCTATCTCTATAATTTGTTCTCTCTCTAACAGCTAAGAATCAACAAAGACTGACGCTGTGGAAACTCAAAATTTCAGTGTTCGATAAATATCTTTTTCTCTACGGATAAGATCGGAGAAACCGGAGGAACACTAAACGGAGAGAGATCACCGGATGGTGATCGTACAGTTTTATTGCATGAATCGGATTTCTTCCCTTTTTTTCTTCCGAGTGGTAAAGGAAGACGAAGGCTCGCGAGGATTAAGGGAAAGATAGACGTGGCTAGAGTGAGCGGAGAGTGAAATGTGACGTGTGAAGAACACACCTGCGGGCTTGCTTGCTTCGATTCTTGTTTTGTTTGTTGCGTCTGTTTTATCTTCTCTCTCTGTCTCGGTGGGGGAGAAAGAAAGGAAGGACACAGATGGTATATTAAGGCCACCAAAAAGACAATTCCACTTTTTTCATTTATTTTATTATTCATCTTATTTTTGTTTTTTCTGTTGGGGCTAATTTATACTTTTATATTTCTTTCCGTTCAACTGTCTCATGGTTACACTAATTCATAGTTATATAATTTGATCTTTATAATGATTTAAAATACTGGTTATGAAGTGCACATATTAATTTAAAATTATTTTATTTTATTTTAAAAAAATCTGAAACATTATTTTTTAAAAAAATAAAAAAATCAAACCATATTTTACTTGGATTTTAATTAATTGATTTGTTAATTCAACTGAATTTAACTGTATTAAACAATTTGTTTATTTTTATATTTAAAAAATAATTTTTTTTTCAAATTAATTATTTTAAAAATATTTTAAAAAATAATTTGTTTTTTCAAATTAATTTTCTTTAATATTTTCAGATTGTTTTAATACATGACTATTAAAAATAAACTTAAAAATATATTATTTAATGTATTTTTAAATAAAAATATTTTAAAAAATAATTGCTATTACAAAATTAAATATGTTTGAAATGATATTTTAAATATCCGAATTTTTAGATAAATCCATAAAATTAAGTAAAATTTAACAACAATGCGATAATCCTACATTGGCTCAGCTTCCGCCTTTGTAAGATGGTTGGTTATGGTTCTAATGCATTTGTTTTTAATTTTTTAAGTATTAATGAAAATATATGTTTTCATTTTTTTAAAAAAATATCCTATTTAGTGTTTTAGGTGCATATTTAGTATTGTTGTGTTTTAAAGCAAAATTCTTTTAAATTGATGTTAATCAGAACATAATTTTTTATTAGAGTGTGTTTGATGTTGTGGTTATGATTTGAAAAAAAATGTTTT